TTATTTGATAAAAAAGCATAATCATCTTTGTAAAAATTATCACAAGCATTATTTGCATTCTTTCTTTTTCATTTTTAGCTTTACAGCAACTCTTTGCAAAGTGACTTATTTTTTATAAATATATTAATCTCTCATATTTTTTCTTTTATAATTATGTTGATTAGAATAACTACCTTTGCCTTGTTTTAAAAAGAAAGCCAAATCTTCACTATGAATCTGCTTTTCTTTCTTTTTGGTCATTTCATGGGCAAGTTTTGATGTAACATAATCTAATGTGAGCTTCTTGATTTTGATAAATTATAATGACATAATAATGTATTTGTATGACTCTAGTAGGCTCAAGAGCGATTATATTATAATATCATAATCTTCAATGGATTTGTCAATAATTATTGATTGATTTGTAAGAATTTATATTTTTTTGATATAAACCATGAGGTCATTACCTTCTTCCATCTTTACCATTAAGAACTTCTTTCTTGTCCATAGAATGTTGATAAGGTTTCCACTCTCATAGATATTGTAAAGAGTCTTCTATATTTTTATTAGTCTATTATAAGTAATTATGCATAAAAATTTTACATCATCAAGATTAGTTGAAATCAATCTAAAAGCCTTCTTTTCACAACATTTGTACTTTTTTTCTCTTTTACATGAGGATTATTGCTTGGACGCTCTTTACTTTTATCAATAATACTTCAAAGATTTAATGATGCCAATAGAAGTTTTATTTTTTATTCAATAGTAGAAGTTGTCACTTTTAAACATTTCAATCACTTTCAAGCCCTCATCTTTACTTGAAGCTATATCTAAGGTAGAAATGTATTAGAAAAAATCAAAAAAAGAAGTTATAGAGCTTTTAAAATTAATAAAGAGGTGTTATTGCCTTGGAAACCTAGAATGCCCTCTTTATGAATAAATAAATTATTTCATTCTTTAATCACTCTCAACTTTATTTATAAGACTTCTCATAAGTCTTATACACTATATAAACTTGTTTTATAAGCTTTGCCACTCTTCAATCATTTTTAATCTCAAAAAATACCTTTATTATTACTAAAAGTCTATTAAGATCTCTAAGCTTCTTTACCACATAAAGGCACAATGTTAGTGCATCAATTATGTAATTTAACAGAAAGATATAATATTAATATTTTAAAACATAATTCTAAAATAACAAACGAATTTGAAGTCTATGTATGTATTTAACAACAAGTAAGAGTAAATCTACATCAAATAACTACATGCAAAAAGTAAAATTAGGAGATTCTAAATACTAACATTAGCAATAATCATAAGATCTATTACTTACAATAAGAAAGCCTTCAAAGAACTTCAAAATTTACAAATAAAGGTGAATGAACTTATAATTTATTGAAGAAAAATAATTTTGAAGTTGTAATTTATAATATCAATAAGATTGCGGACAAAGAGAGTATAGAATAAGATAATTCTTACTTCCAATACATATTACATATAGGTTGTGATTGATGCTTTAGTAGATAACTTCCAACTTTTAATGAATACATCCATCCAAGATTGAATCGAGGCTATCTATTGATATCTTATCTACTATAAGGATATGTCTTTAGCATATTCTCTATACTCCTAAGATCCTTTGTCTATTCATCTACCTCAAAGATATCTTATAGTATATATTTTATATTCTTATCTAATCTTTGAATATTTCCTAATTGATCCTTTATCCTTTTGACTTTGTTTCTTAGCTTTTTTGCATACTAAGAGCCAATCATTTGACTATTAGCAACTTACTTAAGGTAATATCTTTTATAAGATAATTTATTCTACTTTCTCTTTCATTAACTTATTTTGATATTATTATCAATTATAAGGTCAATTGTGATATATCATGGCATAAGATTTTAAAAAGTAGTGGATTAAAGACTATAAGTAGTTATTCCTATCATAAACCATTTTTTAAGTTAATATTAAATTTAAATTAAATTAAATTTTAATAAATAGATATATATATATTTATAAATTTATTTTTAATAAAAGAATTCACTAAATATCAAAAAACTTATAAATAATGAATTATTTTTAAACCTAAGAAATGCCTAAAGAAAAATTAGTAAATATTTAAGTCAACTTGAGAAGCTATAATATTCTATATTAATAAAAGTAACATCTTTTTTATAAAAATTAATACAATAAAATAAAAAATAAGAATTCCATACTAAGTTATAAAGATATTTTTATAAGAAAAATTAAAATAAAGTTATAAAAGATAAAACTAATATTTGATAGCTTTTAAATTAAAAGATAAGTATCAATAATGTGCATAATGCGACATTAGTTAGAGAAAATATAATGTTGTAAGACTACAATTTCATGGTGATTAATAACATTGATATTTGTTTTAAATATCTTTAATTTAATAAAATAAATAAATGCAATAACAAAAGATGCATTATTTCTAGAATTTCTTTTTATGTAGATAATTTAATAAAAGACATGTATTATTTATTGTCTTTAGTAAATCCACCCTTTAATATTATAAGAATTTGTAATCACTCTTTTTCTTTTATTGTACTTGCTTATAAGATGAAGATTGGACTTTAAATTTTCAGAATATAGCTTAGATAGTAATAATAAGAAAATTATTTTTTTAAAATAGTCAATTTATTTTTTGCAATAAAATCTAAAACAAGGTCTTTTATGTTTTTTTTTTAAATTATTTTTTAATAAAAACATCAAAATGGATGGTAATTCGTAAAATAGCATTTCCAAAATCTATTGTTGTTGTCTGTTTTAATCAATTAATTTATATTACTTACAAAAAAGATGACAACTCAAATGATTATATATGCTAGTATAATAAAAAAATCAAATAAAATAGTTATTATCATAATTTTTAAAATAATACTTGGTAATAAAGTAAAAAAATGGTTTAATAACTGACTTTATAAAAATATGTATTGTACCTTAGAAGAAGTTAAAAAACAATTTTAATTATAAAACATGGAGTAAGATTCTAATAAGTTGCTTCATATATCTTTGAAAAATTTCCACTAAATTGATATGAAAAAGGTTAAAAATTATCATAAATATTTTATAAAGTCCATTTTTAACAATAATTTTTTAGATTATTATCTTTTTTATCTATTATTTAAAAATTTGATGCAAAGAATAATGGCGGCTATATTTAATTATTGCATTAAGAACTCTCAATGAATTAACAAATATCAACTATGTTTAGCTGTGTTTTAGAGGATTTTCAAAAAATCTATAGTAATTAGAATAGGAGGGATATTTTTAAGAGAAAATAATATTGAATTATAGAGCAAATTTTTTTCTAAAGGTATAATTATTAATTTAAATTAAGACATGGAATTTTAGCTTAACTGGTGGTTTTGATATAAAAAAGAGGTATAATAGTTCTATGCTATTTAATAAATATTTATTCTTTATAACATATATGTATTTATTTTTCTTTCTTAGTTATTATTTTCAATATATAGGTTGTATTTAAAATAAATCAAGAAGCCTTGATAAAGTTTTGGAATACAAATGAAGCTCGAGGAGTTAATTGCAACAATAATCTTCCTATAATGTAGAAATAGATGAATTGCAAATTAATAATTTGTATATGTTTTACCTTTTTCTAATAAGATCTATAATATTGATTATAAATATATAAAAACAATATATTAAATATTTAATTTTTTAAAGTATTAATTTATAAATTATGTAACTTTTTTATTTTTTTAATATATGTTAGATTATTCAAATTAAAAATATATATATATTATTTCTTTCTAAATTTAAAGATATTTTAAAATATAAATGAATTATAATTAGTGATATTACAAAGTTAATATAATTTATTTATAGAAACAAAAAATAAACCTAGAGGTTTGCTATTTATTTATTTATTTATTTGTTACATAAGCTAATTAAACTATTTTATCAAATAGTGATTGTAAGTAGTATTATTTTGAATGTTCTTTTAAAATCTTGAGTTTGATTTTTGATCATAAATAAGATTAAAATTTAAAGATTTAAAATTACATTCTAAATTTAAAATATATACAACAACAACAATTTTTATATTTATATAATCGTGAATAAAAATATTCAAAAAAATCTTTGTTATGTATTTAAAATATATTCAAAATATTCAAAACATATAAATTTAAGATTAAAAATAGACTTATCTATTTACATATATTATTTATAAATCTATTTAAATCTTAAATAGATTTAATCCAATAATTGTTCTCACATATTTTCTATATTTTTTTCTCTGTTCAAAGATAAAATTTTAAATTTTACTAGTAAAATATTTTTCTATTTTTATTCTATCAAAATTGAATGTTTGACAAGAGTATTCATGGCAAACAAATCTCCTTCTGCTGTTCCAAATCATAAATCAACACTGCAACACAACTTTTGAATACATTTAAATCCAATTTATAACTGGGTATAATGTTTTACACTTCAATATAATCTAATATTTAAAAACATTCTCGACACTGGAGGTGAAAACAGATCAAGTGTCTCAAAAAAAAATATATTTCAGAAAAGTTACAATTAAAACACAAATATGATACACCTAAACCTATTTAACTTTGGATGTACAGAGTTCGCCGGAGACCCAACACCAAACGATGTAATCAACATTCGTAGAGAATTCGTTAAATACCCAACACCAAACGATGTAACCAACATTTGTAGAGAATTCGTTAAATATCCAACACTAAACCAGTTGTGAAGCCCAACAGACTGAAAGCAAACCGAAATGATGCGGTTACCGGAAGGTCCAGTTGTCGTCGGAGGTAACGTTCTAGAATACTCTAGGCTCTGCTTCTCCCTCGGAGCCCCTGTTTCCGGAGCTCTCTCTCTCGTTTGCGCTTCTCTGTAGCAGCGCCGCATTGCGACACTGCCAATCCATTAAACTGTCTTCACATCCTACGAGTAGCAATTCTGCTCCGTGCGCTAGTTGAGCCGCTGCCCAGGTTGGTCTTAGTAGCTTCTACATTGGAGCTTCGGTGTAGTGCATTTTGCGGCCACTGTGTTCTCCATCAGTGCGTTATTGATGATGTTTTACGGGTGATCATAGTTGGTAGTGGTTGTGCATCGGGCGTTGAACTTATGTTTTTTTCTCTGTTCCGATTGCGTATTCTTCGACGTCGAAATTGCCTCCCGTTCCGTAGCTGCAGTGCTTTTGCAGCGCATCTGTTGTTTTAGGTTTGGAGTGTGAGAAGTCCTGGGACGGTGATTTTGCTGGCTAGAATTTTTAGTATGTTGTGGAGTTACTGTGAGCGACAATCCAAATGTCGCTCTCAGAGCCACTGCAGTGATTTCGGTGCGACGAATTCTGTTATTGACCTAATCCTGCGATTTCTGGTTTTTTGCAACCTCTTGCTGCTATATGGCTCGTAGCCTGAGGGTAGGAGAGGCACCTACTGGCGTATAAGCGTATGGTGCATGAGGTTCTGGAAATGGAGACGGGTTAAATAATACATTTGGTGTGGACTGTGATAATTAGAATCGATCTATAATAGACCCTCAATGTGCCTGGAATTTCTCAATGGCTTGCGTAGATCTAGGATTTGTGCCAACTCTCAATGGAACCTCATGCCTCTGGACCTGATTCCTTCTTGGTGCAATTTTCAAGTTACTTTCCAACATCTTGCTTCCGTCCACTTTTCGAAACCTTGATTCGTTTGTTGAACCGTTTTATTCTTGATAGGTTTTTGTGTCGAAATTGCCCTTGTGACGCTGTAAGGTTTTATATGAGTGTGACGGACGTGATGTATTGTTTGCCTTGTGATTTCAGGGCATTTAGCTGCTTGCATTCATTGTATTCGTTAGCATCAAAGGAATTCAAGTTTGGACTAGTTCTTTCACTTGTTTGGGCACCAATTCCAGTTCAAGCATGGCCAAGTTTGGAGAAGGTGACAAACGATGGATTGTTGAGGATAGACCAGACGGTGCGAATGTACACAACTGGCACTGGAATGAAAAGGACTGCTTACCATGGTCTAAGAAACGGCTCGGTGAGCTGCTAGAGAATATTGTCATACTTGAGGGAGAAGGCGGTTTATGGGTTCAAACAACAAATATTGAAAGTGTTACTGGGGATGCCTACGTCAATATCAGGTTGCAATTCTTAAGCATTGCTCCTTGTATTAGACGCTCTGCCTTAATTAATGCAGTTCCATGAAGGAATAATAGTTCTGCTCCTAAATAGGAACGTTCGTATAATCAGGCTGATATTGTGTTTGTTTCAATGATGGTTGATGAGCTTAATGTATTGACTTTATCTGGTTTTCAAACAGTAGTTAACTTGTTGTTCTTTGTGAAATAGCTTTGTATTTTAACGATCTGGTTGTTAATTAATATTTGTGACATACCATAATTAAATTTATAGTTATGGATTTTATCGCTTCAACCGCTATATCCTCTCTTCACGTTAACGAAGTAGTAAGTTGTTCCTGAAAGGTTTGATTCAGGGTAGAATTTGCTAACTTTGTGTGTGCCAACTTTGCAGGAAAGGAAAAATTATTCCGGGTTATGAAATTGCCATCCAAGTTGCTTGGAAGGGAGAAGCGAAAGATGGCAGTGGAAACTCTTTGGCGAAAGTCACGGGCACTTTAGATTTTCCTTATGTTGCAGATGAGAACGCAGACGAAGACCCTGAATTAAAAGTATCTGTTAAGGACGAGTCGCCTGTGGGGCAAAGACTTCGTGACGCTTTTCTTGCGAAGGGAAAGCCTATTGTCCTGAAGAAACTAGCTCAATTTGTGAAGGAATTTGCTGCAGGAGGACCTGCTAAGGATGAGTTGGAAGGCAAAGGGCCTATCAAAGCATCTGAAAAATCTGAGAAGCCTAGACCATTGTCAGGCCCAGTAATTAAGGATGCACCTACATCTGCCGCAAGGGATACCCAGCCTAAGGGAAAGGAGGGCTTCAAAACTATTAGTCTAACAGAGAAGTTCCACTGTCGACCACACAACCTTTATGACATATTGATGAACGACAGAAGCTGGAAGGCATTTACGTCAAGTAATGCACAAATCAGCAAGGAAAAGGGAGGGATGTTTTCCATTTTTGATGGGGCTGTCACAGGTGTCAATGTGAAACTTGAAGAGAATAAACTTATTGTTCAGAAGTGGAGATTTAACAGCTGGGCCGATGGCCACTATTCAAATGTAAGTCATTCAAATCCTGGGCAAGTTCAAATGATATCTACCCAAGAAGGTTGTTTTCTGAAGTAGAGCATATTGCCAAGTTTCAGTTCATGCTTGAATCTGCCGAATGCGAGTTTGTGGAGTGACAAGCACTTTCGACCTGTGTACATGTGCAGGTAATTTTATCTTTCGAGGAACCTGAAGTTGGCCTGACCATCGTGAAACTGACTCAGACCGACGTTCCAGACGAGGACAGGTACACTAGGAGGAAACACTAGCAATTCAATGTGTGGCTGCGCATTTCATCATTACTGACTATGTTAAGTGGTTGACTTTCTATTATCAAATGCAGTCGGAACCATCTGCAGTAAATCAGCTAAATTAGCAATAACTATCTTTTCTGTGATATTCTTTTGTCATTTTCTTTCAAATCGGTCATTTTCAGATAGTATCTGTGTTTGGCAGTACCTGCCTACTAGGACTGAATCGTGATTTTCCTGTTATCTTTCAGATATGGCAATGCAACAGTGGTGGAAAACACGGAAAGGGGATGGCGAGATCTGATCTTCCATAAGATTCGTGCTGTTTTTGGTTTTGGGCTGTAACTTCGTTGTGGTCTTCCCGAAGGTTTATTGAAACACGTTGCCGGTTGTTTGATTGCCGTTGGGGAATGAGAGAATTCGCTAGTCATTCAAGTACAGTTTAGTTGTACCTGTTCCGCCTCAGAAAACAAAATTAAAATCCTGCAATATTCTACACTGGCTTTGCCAAAGATGCAGTCAGGTTTGTGCCATTGCCTCCAAAGTCGATTCTCCAATTTTGTACTTTGAAATAGTCCAGCACCGACAAATGTTAGGTGTTTAAAGTACACCTGTCGGAAACCGAGGATCTCTACACTATTTCTTAGCAGCCAGGGCACGGGGATTAGGAACCATCTCACAAGTGGGTTGGTGCACTAAGTTTTGTGCTGTGCCTTTTGATTGGCTTGCTACTTAGCTTCTTCGTCTTCTGCTTTTGCTTTGTACTCACCATCAGATCTTCATCGTCAGCCGCTACTGTGTCATTGTCCTTGGATGGTGAATACTGAACTTCATATGTGATTGAAGGAGTGATATTGAATATTACGATGCAGGCAACGACGAGGCTAGTGGATAGTTGGCCTTTCACACAATCAACTAGTTACACGCTGCAGTACATTCCATGAGTTTACTCAGAGGACAAATGTTTTTATTGAATAGGATTACTTGAGAGTGTTACACTGTCCGCAGCGTTTCTCACCTTGAAGATGACTCGTTAAAGGATTCAAATTGCATTACTTGAGTTTTGATACCAACGCCTGGAAACCTCTATGAATGAAGAAAAAAATTCTGGACAGAAATGCTTGCGTTTTAATAGGGTAGTCAGTCTAGAGCAGATACAATTAGTCGATTCCTATTATTAACATGATAAATAACGTCTTTATACACATCTATTAGTAATTTAAAATCGTCTCGCTGTAGACAATTATTACAAGGTTTCCAAATTAAAATTTGAGAAAATAGATGCATATTGTCAATAGTGAAGTTAAAGAAAGTGTCTATTAAAGAAGCATATATACAATTCTGTGATATTATTCTCGTACCAAATTTTGTCAATTTTCTATACTATTTGATGGTCGTTTTAAATAGATCCATTTTGAACAACAAAAACAATCAATTGAACTTAAGTATATTCTAGATATCTACAATTTTCTAACAATCTTCTAACAATCGAATATCTGAATATATTTAAACGATTTTGTCAAACAACTTATATTTGAAGGTTTGTATTTTTTAGGTCTAGATATTATTCTGTATTTTATAGTATATCTACATTTGATTAAATTTTCCATTTAATAAAATTCTAAATGTTTAACAAAAATCATTTAAAATATATAGATATACTAGTATCACATGTATTAATGAGTAGTTATGATCTTTAACATGTTGATTGTTAAGATATGAATTCTTTTTTACTTTTATATATAAAAAAATCTACAAAAGTCTGAAAATGCATTGATGGTTTTTTTAGAGCTCAATTGTTATAGATGCTAATTGCACTTTAATCTTATAAAAGTAGTGATGCAATTTGAAAATGATTTTCTTAACTTGCATGTGTGTAATGCAAATCAGTTGGTTACTTCTCAAAATATCTTTCTAACCATTACCTAAATTTTTCCTAGATGATAAAAAAAAAATATCCAAAAATATTCTTAAGTCTCATTCATGGTGTTTCGAAGTATCTCTTTGAGTTGCATCTAATTTACTTTTTAGAATAGGATAAAAACTTGTGTCTAAAATCCCATATCAATTAAAAGAATTACTCTAAGTTAGTACTTTGTGACTCCAAAACATTCTAAAGTTGATCAATCCCCTGCCAAGTTATAATTTGTTTTTAAATTGGTGTCCTATGGTTCTGAGATATCCTTGATTTGGTTATAACAAGTATTATGAGATATTCCTTCTTTAAAATTTTATTTAAAAGTAAGAATCTATATAACTTTGCTAACTTGTAACAACTTGTAATGTTTTAAATTCGTACCTTTAATTAAATAACAAATAAAATAGACATAAAAGATAGATTAAGTTCTTAGAATCTTTATATAATAGGAGTTTCTTTTATAAAAAAATTAAACGAATTGTTCACATGAGATAGACAAAAGGAAAAGCTATTATCATCTATTCAAAGTGTAGATGTCTTTAAACACCTTAATTCTCTAATTTAAAGGTATAAATGAAGAATTAGTTAGAAGATGAATAAAGATAAAACAATAGCAAGTGGATTCTTACAAAAGTTGTCTCTTTACAAATTTGTTTAGTCTCATACAAACAAAAGATAAAAAAGAAAAGAAAAAATAATAATGCAAAGAAAGTATTTCAAATTCCATAGAAAATAATATATAATTTTTTCTTTTTTTGTTTTCACAAAAAAGTCCGAATTAAGGAAACACCATAAAAACCCTATTGAATTTTAAAAACACTCAAAATTGCACCTTGTAATGGGTTGGTTCATGATTGCTTAAAGTTCAAATTATTGAACAATATTTAGAGTAACTTAGTGAAAAATCTCAATCCTCCAAAAGACTGTCACAAGAATACAAAATATTAAAAGCACACTTATGTATTTTAAACTTAACTTAACCCAGCGCTAAGCCCAAGTTCATCACTTACAAAGAAAAGCCCTTGTTCACATGAGGAGAAAGTCTCTTATCCTGTAACACGACTTTTGATCCTACGTGGCTGATTGGAACTCGAACATTAATCACAGTGTGAACACGGTTAAGCCACATCTATCGAAGCGTCGTTCAAAAGAGTTGTTGCTGGAGGTGGAAAGAGGTTGGCTATGGCGGAATTTTGCAAGTATTCCTACAACTTTTTAGGAAGCCAGGGTATCCGCATTTTTAATGTGGCAGAAGGTTCCGGTGCATGATAGCTAGAAATTATTATTGTTATTTTTTTTTTCACGATTTCTAGGTTTTATAGTCTTGAGGAATGGAGCTGTAGCTGGCAAGTGCGGGATTCGGTGCGACTTGAGATGGTTGCTATGGCCGTCGTTATGCCATCCCAGAACTCCTGCATTGTGGCGTCAACTTATGAAGTTCCTTGCGCTTACAGAGCTCTAGTTAAGCCGATTTCCTTGCAGAGTGTTGCTGCGTCTCGTCGTAGCCGTAATGGCAATGGTCGTACTGCTGTATTTTCAAGCGGTGGAGTGCTGAGTAAAGAGATTCCTGTGTGTTCGAGTGACATCCGCTCAAGGTATGAGGATTCGTGGAAGTTTCACGTGATTAGAATTCAGAAAATGGTGACGGTTTTGATTACCGATGGTTGTTATTTTCCACTAGCACGTCGTCACCAAAATGAGAGATATCCTGAGAGATGAGCGCAGAAATCATAATTGTTGGATTTTGTGTAGGCTTCATGCCTGGTTTTCTGTTTAAGCACGATTTCGTAAACTGCGAATTAATTCGAGTATTTTTTTTCCATGTCTACGGTGGCTTTTTGTTATGTTTTGATATGCTTACTCAATACAGCCTATTGCAAACTCTGCTTAATTAACTACCGTGTGCTTTTGAAATTATATAATTGAGCGAATGTAGTACTCAGTCATCTGAGTTTTTTGCTTTGTATTTGTTGCGCAGGGTAGGATTTCGAACCGACATTGGACCGCAATCATCAGCTGATAACAATTGTTCTAGTTCGTCTGAATCGCGCTGTAAGATCCTCGATCCTCACTTGCTGATCACTCGCGTACTGCAACTCGATGTAGTATTTTTCTTCCTCACTGATCGTTAATTCATTATGCTGGTTCCAGTGCAACTGATTCCAGATTCTAGCTGCCATCATGGACGCCCCAGGACAGTGAGGAGCTTTTTCAGATGCAATTGTGCGTCACACGAAAGTCAGGAAACAGTAGAAAATGAGGGTAAATTTTCAGGTTCAAAGTGTTGAAGCACTTAGTTACAGTACTACATTTGAGTAATATCGTGGATGTTTCATTACTTGAATTTAGAACAAACTGGTTCTATCCAAACCTGATAATTTGACTCAACTTTCTCTTTGTTGTGTTCTTGGATGGATTCCACCTCATGGAGTCACTTGTTCTCCAAATGTATTCGTTTTTATAATTGAGTAGGCTCTTTCTGTGAAACTCATTCGTCATTGAGATGAGCTCTCAAACTGTTGATTATGGCGCAGATTCAACCAGTGATGCTGATCAAGAGTCAAAAGTTGATGCTGAGCAAGACTCATCAAGTGCTGGGGTTGCAATTGCCATCAAGATGCTTAAATTCTACAAAAGTGAGGCTCCTCTTGTGATTCCAGCATTCGTACTTTTGTCTAACGGTATGATGCACCTATTCGTGATTCCTAGGCTAATTTTGTTTTTCATGCATATTTTGCAGGAGAAATTTCTCCTATACTTCCTGGCAGCTGCCGCTTTGTTCCAACCTGCAGCGAGTATGGAAGGCAAGCCTTCAAGAAGTATGGCGTTCTCAAGGGCGCCATCTTGACAGCCTGGCGTCTGTCTCGGTGCAATCCTTTAGGTTTGCAGATAATAACGTTTTTATACCCCTAACTCATTCTGCATTTGTAACTTTCTTGTGCGTGCAGATAAAAAAATTCCTCATATTTTCAAGTTTTAGATGTGATACGCAACACAATGTTTAATACAGGTTATGTGACGAAAGGCCTTTATGTATTTATTGTGAGTAGTACAGAGTTTTCTGAAAACTTGGTTTTCGGGTTCTCTTTTTTTCAGGTGGAAGCGGTTTCGATCCACCCCGTTGGTTTGATGAGCCAAGACCGCCTCCATATTGATGACGGTAATCCGACTCCAGATGTCTTTGAGGAGCTTTCTTGTGAGCTTTTGTCCACATCAGTCTTATGTAGGAAAGATGGAAGCTAGAAATGACGCTTCTAAGGAATTGCTCTATTCAGATGATAAGGTTCTGTAACATGCGTGCCCTCTGTTTCATATAACCAACGAACATTTCGTATTTTCTAATAACATAGGATACATGTATCAGAACCGCCTATTTTCTGCTAGACCCTTCTAGCAGAAAAGTATGATTTAACTTCTTGAAGAGGGCAGCGTATGTGCAGCTATTAGCTAATCATTGTATTCGCATTACATATATGGATTCAAAACAAGATACGACTTAAGAGTTCCGTCTTTCGAGGTTACTATCTCGAATGAATATACTTCTACAGAATATTTCCTCCATCCTTGGTCTGCCAGAATGATGTATCTTATTATCGACATCCCGTATCAATTCTCGTTGCCATCATTGATATGCAGAATCGATCCCTTCGTGCTACATTTGGTGAACGGCGCCAATCTTCTAGATGACAACAGATGGTTATCTATATGAATTGGTCTCGCTTTATGCTTCCAGGACGCAGGCTTGCTTTCTAAGCATACTCGGCAAAGACAATCACAGTGCAGAGCAAGCGTTCCACCTCAGTCACAAACCCAACTCTTTCATGACAGGCAATCTCAAGTCGCAGCAACAAATCAATTGGGTCTAACACAGAATCAAAGTATGATTTAACTTCTTGATAATAATGCTGCCAAACTTGTTAATTCTAATTTGGGACCTTAATAACAACACAACTACGTATCCCCCACTAGACAATGAAGTTCACTCCAACTTTTTCCCTTTATGAAATTCTAGGGACAATTCACTTTCTTTTCTTTTTGGTGTAACCTTGCAGACTCACTCAAAATACTCAGACTTTTATTTTAGAAGGTGTTTTATTACTCAAACATCCAATCTTTCTTGGTTGGTGACATCTTTCCAACTCAAGTGTATTTTTCTACTCAAGTTCATTGACTTTATAAAGTGTTTGGTTATAACCACTAACAAAATCATAACAATCTATTGATAAGCTATTAGAGAACTAACTATCTAATTTAGAAACAAAAGTTGAAAACTTATTTTTTTTGACCTATCAACTAAACTATAGGATGTTTATTCATCCCATCAAATGATTGACTTGGATTGTAGGAGTCAATGGTTGTTCTTCTCTTTTGCCACCTATCCTAATTAATTTAGGTATTAATATTTACCTACTCTTCAAAATGATTGCGCGCTTTGTTTTAATCTCCTATTACATTCATTAGAGCCCTCTATTCAATGCACTTTGTTTGTTATGAATCAATCTTCTATCACTTTACTATCTCAAAACTTAGTTCAATATTCTAGGATTGGTTTGAAATAGTTCTCCAATTTTGGCTAGTTTTTTATTCTAACTTCTTATCGTTTTTATGAAATTCTTACTTTCTTTATTTTTTGATTTTTTCTAAATAATTGGATTCTTCTAGTCCTATCTAATCTAACCTATTTTATTAAACTATCTTATATATATTTTTAATTATATTAATAACAATTCTACTTCTTGAATAAAAATCATATTTTCACATTGTAAATTAAAAAATTAAAAATATTGATTTTAATAACTAAATATAAATTATTATTTCAAAGAAAAATATAGTAAATCATCTATAATAATTATATCTAAGACTTATTAAGACTTTGATTAAATGAATTTTTACTTGAAAAAACTCTTTTAACTTTTAATTTTTTTTAAGTAGCAACAAACAATCAAATCATCAAATAAAATTCATAATCTTGGTATATTTATATCCGAATAAAATTAAAATTTTTGTTTCAATCTTATTAAGGCTCAGTTTTATATTTTTTAATAATTGTGAGTATACTAACTATTAATTTGTAACCTATTTTGAAAAGTATCTTTTTAAAAATATATTAAACATTCTTTTTTATAATGATGTCAAATTTTTACAACCTCCTATATTAAGAAAAATCAAAAGATATGAATTTTTAAAATTCATTTGGCAATAATGTTAAGCTTAAACATTCATCTATTCTTAAAGTATTAAAGATATAAGATTATCTAATTCATTTGGTAATGATATCAAACTCAAGTACCTTTAAATATCAAAGGTAGTTAAAGATGTGAGGTTGCTTAATTTATTTAGAAATAATATTAAAATTTAGGACTATCAAATATCGAAGTTAGTCAAAGATAAGAAATTGCCTAATTTATTTGATAATAATGTCAAGCTTGAACATTCATCTATTCAAAAGATAGTCAAAATTGTAATAATACCTAAGTCATTTGGCAATAGTGTTAAGCTTGAGCACCTCAAAATATCAAAAGTAATCATACATAAGAAGTTGTTTAAATCATTTGGCAATGATATTAATATAGCACTATGTTATATCAAAGGTAGTCAAAGATAAGAGGTTGTTCACTTCATTTGGAAATGATGTCTAACTTTAACACCCTATCATAAAAGAGGTTGTCAAGGAAGATTGCCCAATTTATTTGAAAATGATGTCAATTTTGAACATTCACCTATTCCTAATGTAGTCAAAGATGTGAAATTATTCAATTTATTTTGCAATGATATGAAGCTTAAGCACGATGTTATATCAAAGGTAGTCAAACATATAAAGTTGCCCAATTTATTTGGCAATGGGGTCAAGCTTTAGCACCAACTCATATCAAAGGTGGTCAAAGATTGGAGGTTGTCCAATTCATTTGGCAATGATGTTAAGCTTGAATATCTACTTGTTCTTTGGGTAGTCAAAGAAGTGAGGTTGCCCAATTTATTTGGCAATAATGTCAAGCTTGAGCACCTCTTTATATTAAAGTCTTTTCAAAGCAAGAAGAATTTTCATTGAATTTGATAATAATCCTAGTTTTACACAATCTTTTGAATTAAGTATCTTCAAAGAAGTCATATATTCATTTGATAGCATGGTCAAGTTTAAGCATCTTTCTAAGTCAAGTTTCAATAATGTATCAATTTTAAAGAATGAATTTCGAAATTTTTCTATAAAAGAAGAATTTCTGAATTACTAGAAATTTAAAACCTTAATTTTTTTTCAAATATCTTTGTCATGTAGCATTTTTAATGCTTTGATTGCTAATTCTTCATTTAAATGTATTCCAATGGCATATCTAGTAAAAAATATTTTAAACTTAGAGAATGATTCACTAATACAAACAATATGCTTAATATTCTTATAAAACTATAAGGTGCAAAAACACCAATATTACATCTTAAAAATTAAAGTCATAAAAAAAATATTTTTTAATAATAATATTTTTTTATGTTATTATGAAATAATCCTTTCAACTATAAATCAATACAATAAAATATACAAAATATTAGAATTTTTATGTTAATAATATAATTAATATATATACAAATCTAACCACAATATAAGATTAATTTTTTTATATAATAAATTTATATCAATATATATCTAAAAAATATAATAAAAATAAAATAAAAATCTAATATTTAAATATTTATTTTAATAATATTAATATTAATATTATTAGTTTTTTGACATAAATTTAGATAATAGTTAAGTAAAATTACCTTGTTTGATAATCCATGAAATGGATCTAAATCCAAGTTCTACATTTGTGTGTATTTCTATTCCATTTTTTCAAAAATATTTATAAATATGTCTTATAGGTGACCATGTATTCTTATAATTCCATCTTTTTCTACTTTTATCAATGATTGATAAATCAATGTATCTAATATATATTTTGTATCTTGTTCAATTATATATTTTTGACTAATAGTCCATATTTTTAATATATATATTTTTTGACATGACTTGTAGATACATATCACTACAATAAAAACAACATATATCCAAAAATATTTTCTTCAACTTTCAAAATATTAAAGCTTGCTCTTAATGTCTTCTAAATCCTATAATTACTATTTTTTTGTTTTATTTTTATTTTTATCTCCATTCAATTCCCTTTTATTTTTCAACTTTTGTAGAGCTTGCTCCCAATATCTCAATCTCTTATTCATTTTAATAAATGCTTCCATAACTTTTAGATTGAATAGTATGCCATAGCAAGCTCTTACAATTTTTTGCCAATTTCAATAAGTACATTAGATAGATTTTTTTGGTCACAAGAAAGAATGCTGAACAACTTCATATTGTTTCTTCATCAAGTTTTTTAATATTTACTTTAAAAACTTCTTCACTACAATACATTATTGCTTTTGAATCTCAAGTTATAATCAATAAGCTAATATTACTAGCAAATATATCATCCATAGGCACAACATTTTCAATTTGCATCCAACTAAACTATATCTTGTATATACTCAACTAACTTCAATACAAGTTCTTGCAAATTCTAATAAGAATAACATTCTTTCCATCTTTTTTGTTCTACCTATCAAGATATCAAAAATGGAACTCATTTGCCATTCAACTCAATTTTACCTAAACTTCTATTAACTTCTTTCATTCCAAATTTAAACTTTGAATCACCACACCCTTGCAAACTCCAACTTATCATAGAAAAATCATAAAAGAAATAATAAAAGTATTAATTCCTACACCAATTCATAGCTCTTTCTATACCTATTACTTGGTGAATACTTCATTGAAGTACAACTACTAAACAAAAAGCACATTTGAGCATCTTACAAATAATTCTAAAATCTTAGTTAAGATATATTCTTAACAAAATATTCAAATCTTACACTTCAATAATAAAATTAATACAATGTATTAATTTCATTTCGTATTTTTATTGAAATACATAAATATGGTCCTCATTGAATATATTGCAAAAAGAATGTTCAATTATAATTTATAAGAGAATATAAAATTTAAACAATTAATATTGTAAATTAATACATAAAATTATTTATTAAGATATTCTAAATTCTCTCTTTTTCAGGCTACTTGCTAAACATTACATAAAACATAACCTCTCTCCATTCTCTTCCAACTTCTTTTTAAAAATTGTATTTATTCATTTTAAATCTTCAGATAAATAAATATAATATGTCAATCACCTTTTCATATCTAGTAATAAACAATAAGCCAAAACTAAACACTTCAGGGAGCAATCAGGATGCTATTCTCACGTTGCAATCCATCCAATCTACCACACCTCTCTCTAATCCAAGCAGGTTCACACAACTAGCTACTTTATAGAAGCATGTGAGGTAAAGAAATCTGTTGTGGGGGTGGAAATCTCCGCGCCAGAATTTTAACATTTGTTGCATTCATGGAACCGCCACATGATGTCAGCTCTCAAAGTTATGATTTCCAACAAATGTTAGAACTACCCACAATGTTAAAATTTCTTGGACACCTGTGCATTGAAGCTCATGTGTTGTAGCTTAGCTCAATATGTAATTAATGCTTCCATTTATACAAATTGCGTTTTTCCTACAGTGCTTGTTGAAGATGAACATACCAAATCTGAAACAAATTTTGGCAGTCACTCACCACCTGTGAAGCTGATTAGAGACAACACTGTCGATTGGTTTGAAAAATGAACAGGACAAACACCTGACTGTCCACTGAAACAAACACCTTCGGAAATCTAGTTTCAAACGAAGATAATTACAGTTCCAGGAAGAGAAATTCCTTTAAAATATTCTAAGTGAGATAACACTATAAGAAACAGCATACACGATTGAAATTTAAGATAGCTCACTCCTTGAAGAATCTGGCTTCAGCTGGTAGTGACCCTAAGGAACGGTAACTATGCTACACAGGGTGACACATATTTATACAGCAGAGAGTCTCTGTTGGATGAGTCTACAATTGGAGAGCCTCAATACGGCTAACTAAATCCCCCTTTTGGATACTCACTATTCAAGTTTGTACTGATAGGCGATAAAATCATATTTCGTCGCCCTCCTTCACAGACAAACTTGAAACTTGAATTTATTCAGATGACCAATTCAAATATTACTCATATTGCAGAAGGAGCAAACAGAAACAAGTGTTTTCAGTTCATGTCTCTTCAATTTTCCAGCTGGTTGTACAATCATGCGATGCATAAGTTCTTACGTATCAAGTTAGCCGCATACCTCTTCATGAAATAAGAGTGGCGTTAACATCCACACAGAACGCCATGTGTCTACTGAATCGGTGAAACTATGTGCGATCCACTAGTGCAATCAATGAGCTCCACTTGACATCTAAGTCGATGAGTCATATTGATACTTTGGACTTCATTACATAGAGGATTTTACACTCAAATCAGAAAGAAACATGGGACTCAACGTCCTGTTTTACATCTCTGCTTCCTTCCCTACATGGGGCTTGTGAGCAAACTCTTCCTCCTCCTTGGGCATATGGATGGTGACCACATCTGGAAGTGGAGTCATAGGTCCTTGCTTGCCCTTGGGATCCCAGTCGAGCATGATCTTGACCTTGATACCCAAAACTCCCTAGAAGACAGCAATATCTTCGATTCAGTTTCACAACGGCAAACTGAAAGCATTACCGAAATGCTGAGATAACTCAATTTGATACAAGAAGTATAAGGGAAGAGCCAGAAAAACTCAGTTAACAGAGAAATGGCCAAGGATATGTAACATACCTGACGCAACATGACGTGCCTAACAGCACTGTCGATGTAATCATTGACAGGGCTTCCGGATGAAATCATGTAGCCGTCCTTGAACTTCATAGACTTGGCCCTAGCGGCACGCAGCTTGCCACTGACAATGACCTGCAAGCCAAACCCGCTAACATCGTCACACAATGCTTGCACCTACTTAACCAGAAAGTATTCGGGTGTCTTCAGACGCACTACTCCATGAGAAAAAGGAAGATGGAGAGGTTCTTTTCGGCAGCTTTTAAAGAGTGACTGTAAATTAGGAAGATTTAGTGTACCCAGAGAGCATAGACATATTCGGGAATTAAATTTTCTTATACAGCTTATGCATAGGTTTTAATACACAAAAGCTCACGCTTAGACAGCTTCTCATTCAACTCATTGTGCGTTCGCCCTATCTAAGTTACTAATAGATCCAAGAGACACACAACAAATTTTTAGTTCATATCCTAAACTGTACATTCCAATCATAGGCAAGGCATAACTCACCAAGGATCTAAATGTAAGGTTTCTTAATAAATACATCCTAATCAACCACAAGCAGGAACTACATGGTTTCAACATAGTAAATTCTGGTTCCCATATGCTGTGAAACTTACCTCACAACCCTTAGCACCGCTCTCCATAATGAACCTCAACACTCCGTAGCACGCCCTGTACCCGTCATACAAAAAAGAAAACGTCATACACCATCGATTCTGATAAGTACTTAACATGGGAAGCTAGATTCAAATCAAAGTGCAACTGATGAATACACGGGCATAATTACACGAATGGCAACCCATCGCACCTGCGCACAGCAAGACCTCCAAGAAGCTTGTACCGCAGCGACTCAGCCTGAGCAATGGCGCACAGACCCCTGTTGTTCACCTTCTCGGCATACAACTCAACGGTGCCCTCCGGAAACTGGAAACGCTTCTGGACAACGGAGGTCAACTCCCTGATCCTACGTCCCTTCTCACCTGCATCACAAGATCGAACAGTCAATCCTCAAGACCAAGTTAAAGAATAATTTAAAAAAAAAAAAAAAAAAAAAAAAAAACACATTCGCTTCCTACTCAAACTCCACCCGCACAAAAACCCTAAATCTCTCCCACTCTAAGCCGCCAGAACGATCAACGTACCCAACACGTTCTGGGTGCGAGTGGCACGGATGATGATCTCGGTACGCATGGGAGTGACGCGCACTTCCACGCCAGAGTACCCATCTTCAGCAAGCTCCCGGGTGAGAAGCTCGTTCAGCTCCGCAAAGAAGACTCCATCCGCTACGAACTGCTCATGAAAAAACAGAATAATAAGCAAAAAAATCCCAACCCATTGGCAAAAATGAGCGGGGAACAATGGCTACACACACACCTTTCGTTTCTTGCTCATTTGAGTGGCCATGGTGGCGTCGAAATGACGAGGGCGCGACCTAGCGAGAGCTTGCAACCGGGAGGGCGTGCGAGCGAAAGAGGAGGAGTCCTGTGGAAGCAGCGTCCTCTATGAAACCCTAGCTCCTTAGATGAATCGTAAGTATCATTCGTCGATAATTATTATGTTCGTTCACTCTGTTCTCTGTTACTTTTGTTTCATGCTTTCCTCTCACGTTCCCTCTGGCGTTGCACTCCTTTCTTCACTTTCCCATCCCAATGCACTCAGCCTTCAACATGTTGGATATTTCTGCTGTGAATTTCACATTCTTGATATTTTCTATTGTTTATGGTGTGTGCTGTATACTGTAGAATTTTATAAAACTACATATGCATGTTTATTATTATTTTATTTTTATTTTTAATTCCACATGAATTAATAAACCATATATAATAAATATTACAAAAACAATTCCATAAAAATAACAATCTTGTAAACTCCTGCTAGTACTTTGTAGGGCTTTTTTTTCTTTTTACTTATTATTTTTTGTGCTTTTTCTTCAAATAAAACTTGAACTTGGATAATCATAATTAAAATCTAATGAATTTTTCTATAATGAATTAAATTAAGATTATAGTGAAATAACTTCTTGCAAAATTGTACCTTGAATTTTTTTTTTCATTTTTTCATTCTTTAAATTTATAAAATAAATTTATAAAATACAGAAAGCAATAAATAATAAAAATTATCTTATTAATAAACTTCTTTTTCATAAATAATTTTTGGATTTTTTATTTTTATTTGTGATATATTTTATCAATTCTCTATATTATCATGAATTATCTTGTCTATTTTTTTATACTTTATTTCCTAAATAAACATCTTTAGTTTTTTAATAATTTTATCTAATGATAACAAAAAATTTATTACTTGATTGTCATTTATTATTATTATATTCATTAAAAATTATATAAATAAGTATTATTTCTAATTATTATTTTTTCATAAATTTAAGTATTTATTAATAAAATCCATAGTTATAAATTAAACAAGATTTTATAATTTATATAGAATTATGCAATTCTATAGTTCTCAAGGTAATTGTAATATATTACTTTCTTAATCTAGGTTGATGGTGGAGTACAAGAGTGAGTCAATATAGTAAATAATATAAGCCAAATGTAATTTTTTGATTGCTTGAGTGAATTTGATATAGATATGGAATCAAGGATTGTTGCACATTTATATATCAATGTATAGGAGTATCATAGACATATATATTTACTTAAATAAGAAGTATAAGGTAATAGATAAATATAAGAAGATTTGGTAATATCTTGTGACATAGCTTCTTAGAAGCTTCATAGATTTGGATTTGACTTTAGATGTATTTGTAATTGATTAGTAGATTAGAAACTTAGTCAATGAATTAGCCACATGTTGCATGTGTTGGTAGCTTGTGATATTAGTTAACCATGTGGCACACATATAAGAAACTTATATTATAAGTTAGACACGTGTCTCACAAGTTGGACATTTGTTAGATGTCCTATAAAATGTCATTACATAGCTCTTAGTTAGATAATATATATAGAGGTAAGAATGAAACCTTCTTTATTCTTATCATCACATTTCATGTTCCTAGTCTTGTTTCAAGAGACTTTCACTTTCTTGTCTTTGGCAATAGACATTCTAGTTCAATATTATACCATCTTTGAGTGATTTCTTACTCTTTTTGAATGATACAAGAGTGTATTGATCATTTGATTCTTTGAGATTCATGACCTTGATAAGGAGGGATATTTTAAATCTACACATTAAAACATTGAATTGGAATATTGAAGGTTTATGAAGTAGATATCTTAGTTGTTTAAATAGTTGATGATTAGAGTTTATATATATTTAATAATTTAATAATAAATATTTAATAATCAAAATAGTCGCTTGCCCATTTTCATCTGAAAGTAGACCCACCTCTCCAAACATTGGATTCACTGTGCGTCCTCAGGCTTCAAGGAGCAGTGACTGGAACAGCGATGCACAAGCAAATGCAGAAATCCCAGAGTTAGTAATCACGCTTAAATTGGTGACGGTATTATGAAATTCCATTAACGAATTATACTGCAGCAGTTCAACCTGGATGAACCATGCAAAAATTCTATGGCAATAGTGCATTTACTCCAGAGAAGTCCGTTACCGAGCCTACTAATTTTCTTGGCTGTTCTGTGTCCTTGTGGCAAACTCAATACGGTTTGCTAGCATTCATAATGTCTTGCTAAAAACATGCTCAAATCTATTCGACAACTTTTAGCCAATTAAAAACGATTAGACCACCTTATTCCAGTGGAACAGTCACTGATCTTTTCGTCATTCGAAAGGAGCGGTTTGATAACTGCATTCTGTCACGCTGCTTCAGTCAGAGGTATCCGGAAACTAAATAAACCGTGATTATTAAATCAGTGAATAATTTGGTGAATGCTAACCAGGGCGCTGAGTTTCATGCACTGCACTGATGATGCCCATTAGCCCAGCGCGGCCAAAGTATTTAGCCACGAATATTGTCGCATGCCCTTGGGCATCTGAGCTTTCGATCCATTCCAGACAAGGACGGAGTATGCAAGTGTTGCTGCAGCTTTTGCGCAACACACGATACCCATTGCAACTCATCTTCGAATTCCAGGCTCGGTCCAGTATTTTTTTCCGCCTTTCGTTACTCCTCTTGCTTCCTTTTAGCTCACATAAATTTACTCAGTGTTGTAATTTGTTCTCAGCGCCCCTGTGTCTTGTGGTAGCTATACCACGCAGTATCCAGTCTCGCTCCTTAGAGCATGCGAAAACGTTGAAACACCACATTTTAGAAGCACAATTCTTCAACAATGTATCGAATATGAGAACCATATTCTTGTCGGTAGTGATTCGATGATGAACGGTTAGACACAATCGTTACCCAACTGGTATGAGACACAACATTGCGAGATCAGATCAGCGAAGCTTGATCGAATAATTACATTGATCAGTGATGACTTGAATAAATATGCTAAATGGCCGTTCATCTGTAAGGTCCAGCGGTGCATTACTCTCCCCCACATGAAGTAGTACACTGCCGAGCTAGCAATTGCTGCACACTAACTCGGTGCATCTCCTCAAGCCTGTCCAACTACAAACTCCTCCATTTACTTAATCGGGACTCATCCATATCCAGAATATTTGATACTGGAAAGCTACAATGAGATTAGCTCCTGTATCTAGGAATCACGAGTAGTGGGCAGATAATGCATCAGCTTCAACTTACTCTGGATCTGTCCATCAGAACAACTTCATGAAGAACTTGTTCGAACATCATGGACGTAGTCTTTCTTTTCAAAGATCTATCTGAAACAGTAATTAAGTATCAGAAACTCTGTCAAAAACAGCACATCATACAAGATGAAAACCTTGTTCTCTTGCAAAGTCTCCCCACGTCAGCATAATAACCTACCTACGTTAACAAGAGAGGCTTCTGGGGTCATTAAACCGCAACCTGGACAAAGTTCAGCTCCTCTTTAAGTCTCTAAGATGGAATTTTTCACGGAACCATTCAAACAGTCTACAGCACTTCGAATCCTAGCCGTTACATCAACCGGCAATCTTCACGTCACTTAAAATATTACGTAAACTGGAATCTGAACTTATCGAAGATGTTCTCTAGAAGCGTGACAGCCGGCAAGAAGACAGCAAATCAGCCAAGCTTCACCATGCTGATCATGTTTTCTGCTGAAGGAAATCAGCGAACTCACTGAAAAGACAAAGAACTCATAACGACCTGGCACAGAAGTGCAATTCAGCTACAGAACCATATTCGACCACAACATGGAGTTAAAAAAACACATACAAGCCAAGAGAAAACTGGTGTGTTCCTGGACTATTTCGATCGTAGTGAAATTGGGGGATTTGCAAGACTGAAGTGCACTCATTCACCGCCTTGAAGTGGGTATAGAAGAAGACTTTATTACCTTCGGTTCGTGTGTCGAGAGGATCTCAGCTGGCTGTTGAGGCGACTGTGCGTTAGTGTGCAGACCTCATACCAATGATGCCACTAAACGACGGCATCTATTAATGGGGATCCGACAAAACTGTGTCTAGCAACTTGGATTTTACCTCTGCACATGACATAACCACCCGGAACTTCCTTTCACTGCCTTCCTCCTCCTCGATCATCACCAGTCTACGTTTGTTTGTGCAGATCTTCCTCCTTCCAAGTCCTCGCAGGATCATTACTCACTAATAATTCACTTCCTTTTGTCATTACTCCCTAATCATGAACTTCCTTGTCATTACCCACTAATCATTTACATCCTTGCCAGACCTGTAATGGGACCACCATGCAACTATTTTGATTAACCACGTATCTGGTGCATTACAACTAATCTGTCATCAAGTGTTTATATTTCTTTTTAAGTTTGTGGATTCTGTGTGAAAGAACTGAGCATACAAAGAGATTAGTGGGTTTCAAACATGGCCTTTACAGGTGATATTTGCTCAAAGTAACTTATGATATTTCAAAATATGACTTGATACTTCACCAAATCACCCACCTTATAAGTTTGGTGATTTTGAAATCTATAAATATCAAAAGAAAGGCCTCATGAGTTGAGTGATTTTTGAAATCAAATATCTAAAGAAAGGCAGATAGCCTTAGCCTTTGACTCTATACCACACCACCTAACACCATTTCTTGGTGCTCCAAAAAAATAGCATACCTTCTAAGATTTATGAAGAAATGATAAACTTTGAATGGTGATATTTTGGATTTGATATTTTAAATGATCTTGAAAATATCATATATTGAATCTCAATTATTTGGTTTTGTAAAAGTGTAATGTTTGAAATCCCCTATCATATAATGTTTGTGTTTGTTTTGTTAAAGTATTCCAAATTTGTGCTTGAAAAATTCTTGTGTTTTAATATAGAGTTTTTTTTTTAATTTCTATTTTTATTTTTAAATAGTATGATGTTCCTATACTATCCTTTATTGTTTTATTTCTACCACACATTATTGAAATAACCAATTTAGTATTGCTTTACTTTGAGTATATTTTTAGAATTGAATATCTTTTTTATCAATATTAACTTATAGATTTACAATCATATTAAAGAATATTTTGAAATTATCTTTTCTACTAC